GGTCTTTTTGTAGGGCTATAGCATCTTGGTCTGAGTGGATAGAGCGGTAAAGGGCAGAGTCGTCAGCAAACATTCTAGTGGTTGATTCAGGTGATACATAGTTGGGTAGATCATTAATGAAGATGAGAAATAAGAGAGGTCCTAGAACACTGCCTTGTGGGACACCTGACTGGACAGGTGCTTCACCTGATTTGCTGCCGTCTAGTAACACTCTCTGGCTCCGATCCCCTAGGAAGCTGTTTATCCACTTTAGTAGGTTGTTTCGTATACCATAGAATTGAAGTTTTGTAAGTAATCGGTGGTGTGGGACCTTGTCGAAAGCTTTGGAAAAATCTAATAATATGACATCAGTCTGACCAGCAGAGTCCATATTGCAAGCAAGGTCCTGGACTGTCAGTAAAAAGTTGAGTCTCACAGGATCTGCGTTTACGAAATCCATGCTGGGCATCTGTAAGTATGTTGTAGGGTGTCAAGGTGTTTCATAATGGTGCTTGTAACGATGTGCTCAAGTGCCTTACATGCTATGGAAGTAAGAGAGACAGGTCTGTAGTTCTCTGCTTTACTGCGGTCGCCCTTCTTGAAAATTGGTACCACGTTGGCAGTTTTCCAGTCGTCAGGGATGATTCCTTGGTCCACAGATGCCTGGAAGAACAGTGTAAATACAGGAGTAAGTTCTGTAGCTGCTTCCTTTAGAAGTCTTGCTGGGAGTTGATCTGGACCTGTAGCCTTGTGTGGATTAAGTCCTGCAAAGATCTTCTGTACTCCGCTCTCTGTGATTGTAATATGTTCAACCGGATCATGTGGGCTTGGTCCCATATCAGGAATAGTTGAGATGTCTTCATCCTTGTTGAAAACTGAAGAGAACTGCTCATTCAGGATATTGGCCTTTGTGTCGCTGTCGGAGTGAGTCATGCCCGTTTTTGCTTTCAGTGGTGCTACTCCCTGACTATCTGTTTTCTTGCTTTTAATGAAACTGTAGAACCTTTTGGGATTAGAGGCAGACTCTGGACTGACAATATTTGTTGACATACTCATTGTAGGCTTCTTGACATGCCAGTTTAGATTTTTTCTTGAGATCTTCATATCGTTTTTATGCTTTTATGAGACTTTTGATTTTGCACGGGCATACTTCGACTCAACTGTTGATGTTTTGCACTGGCTAAATAGATGCTCTCTTGGATGGCACACAGGAGTTTTCAGGAGATTGTCTTTTTCGCCCACATAGTGTTGATATGGCTAATTGTTGTGTAAGTTTCTTTAAAGTGTTGTTGAAATTGGTGACATTTGCTTTTCAGTTGGTCTATATCTGCATTTTTCCATAGATGTATAAGTCTTTTGACTGGTTTTGATCTTTTAGCCGATGCACTGGATTCAATGAAGACTATGTCATGGTCACCTAGTCCTGGCAGAGTTGTACTGCGCGTTGTAAGAGTAGGACGATTTGTGAGGAAAACATCCAGAATGTTGTCTTTTCTTGTTGGCTGAGTGACCATCTGGTGAAGATTGCAGGATTCAACAACTTCAAGGATCTTTTTGTTGATCCTGTTGGAATTCTGGTTACCTTCTACTGTGTTGATGGTCCAGTTGATGTCAGGTAGGTTTAGGTCTCCACCTATCCATATTACTGCATTTTTGTAACGATTCTGTATGTTTTCTATTGTGGAACATAGTTCTTCATTATATGTTTCGTCACTGTTTGGTGGTCTGTAGATGGAACCAATGATAAGAGTTTTGTTTTTATCGAGAGTGACTTTAGCAAACACTTGCTCTGTGTTTGGTCCTGTGTCCAGCTTTTCATAAATGAGGTCGTTCTTCAAACCAAGAAGGACACCGCCGTACCCATCTTTCCTGTCTTTTCTGAGAATGTCATAGTTTGGTGGGAATATTTCAGAAGAGTGAATGTTAGGATTCATCCAAGTTTCAGATCCCATGATGATACTGGGGTCAGCAGACTCTAAGAGGTTGCAGATTTCAGCTTTCTTGTTCTTGCAGCTTTGGAAGTTGATGACCAGTGTTCTCAAACTGCGAAATGACGGGGTTGATTTTTTCTTGTGTGAAGTTTTAGGAGAAGAACTGGAGATAGGGGGGCCAGGACGGACTTGAAGAGCATGTAGTGGTTGATGAGTCAAGTGCATTGAAAGAGTTGCTAGTTGTATCAGTAATAAATGATTCAAATAAACTTGTAGAGAAATTCGGCATGCCACAGTTATCACAGTGCCATGAAATATTACTGTGGTTGCATAAGGTGTCATAGATAATTGAGTTCATGTGCATACACTGGGCATGGTACCACTGTTGACAGTCGTCGCAGGCTACGCCCTTTTGTTTCCATGTGACAGCCTTATTGCAAATCTGGCAGGGGTACTTCGGTTGACGGGGTCCTGGGTTGAGCTCAACATCAGACGAAGTAGCTATCAGCAGCAAGGATATGTAGAGAAGGGTATGCATTTTCCCTCTGCGTATGCATGGATATAGTGACAGCGAGCTAAGGTGTCTGGTTACAATAAAGTATTGCACATCCTTTGTTTGGTAATTTATATATTTGAAAAAGTTTGTTGATCGTAATGATCTGGGCTGGTATACATCTGGGGAGGAGAAGTTGATGCATGAGGAAACAATAGCTAATAAGGTAAGTAGATAACAGGTGCCGTGTGCGAAATCCATTTCTACAGTTTTGTTTACATTCTCATCCGTCGCCGCCACCGGAAGTCACCGGTAGATCGTTGAAAAAGTGTCAGGAGTGGTCTTTCGGACGAAGTAGGCAATCAGGTTTGGTTCAGGTTGAAGGATTAGGATATTCTTACCATACACACCAAGAAAGTTCAGCTAAATTACTAAATGAATGATGAAAACAATTTATTTTGCTCGTGCGCTTTTCGGAAGACAGTCTTACACCGCGCATGCGCAAACTACCTAATCAAGTAAATGTCTGAATTATAGAATGTACAAAAGTGAATTCAGATTTGAAAAGTTTTTAGATATTTTACCATCTCATTTAGCTTTGGTACTATTGCGCTTTAGATGTATGAACCATAAAATGCCTATTGAGTCTGGTAGATTTTGTAATATACCAAGAGAATTAAGAGTGTGTAATTTATGCAAAAATAGCTCACTTGGTGATGAATATCATTATTTATTTAATTGTCAATTCTTTAATACTGATAGAAAAAAATATATTACTAGAGAGTATAGTACTAATGTTAATTCAATCAAGTTTTCTATGTTAATGAATAGCACAGATAGGAGTATATTGTTAAAACTTGCAGTATTCTGTAAAAAAATTATTTCAGCATTTAAGTAACTGATAACTAAGCTTATTTTCATAATGTAACACTTTCATTTTTGATTTATATTTGCCATGTAATACATCAGCATATTTCGTGGATATCTCTTTATATGTCATACTATATGTATATATTATTGTATATGTGACTGATGCCTCTATGAGGCCCAGCATTTTCAATAAACTGTTGAACTGTTTGTTTTACCTAGGCCTTTCAATCAAAGCACCTGGTTTAACATTTCGGCTCTTTGCGTCAAACTACAAATACATCAGGTATTTCGGTCCTATACGCTACAAAATATGTAAACCAGTTAGGCCCTAAACATGTAAATAAGTAACTTAAATTCGCGCTGATTATGTGCAGAATTCAACGATTACACATTGAAGGTTGTCAAGGCTATCGTCGAGCTCTTAAAAATAATAAAAATAAAGGAATATTTAACAAAATGCGTATATATTTCAAATTCTTGAGCTAATTAAATTATCAATTTCACCATAAACAGTTTCATGTACAAATTTTCGGACCATAGATCTAGAGTCACAGTACCTGTGCTCGACCAGCCCAGTGCTCGACCAGTACTTCTGTTAGTGTATGATTTATGCATTAATGTGGAAAAACCCTAGGAGTTTGTGTGTGCTATTTGTACCAGACCTGTAATCTCTACACCATGTACAAGTACCCCAAGTTTGGTCGAAGATTGGCCATTTTGCAGACAATATTTAACAGTACAAAAATACATTTCTATAATAAAAGTACCAGTAAAAACTATTTAAAACACTGAAATAATGATAATTTAGGACACATGTGGACAAAACTTTGTTAAATTGCATTTGCTCTTATGATTCCAATTGATTTCCATAGGAAAGGTGCCCAAAATTCACCAAAACCCTGCTTTCCATAAAAGACAGCGGCTATGAACATGTAAACAAATATGGCAGCTGTACGGAAACAAATCGGGAACACACCACTAAAAGCGTAGACCATTTGTATATTACACCAATTATCACACTTGACTATGTTTGCAGAGTGATTTTAGTGAAAAAAATGAAAATAAGTAATCTCAAACACCCCAGTATATGTAAATTCCAAAACTCTTATAAACACTTTATTTCTCAATGTATAGCATTTCCTTCATATCATATTTGCTTTCATATTTACATATATAGACACTAAAACAATAATGTTTCAAAATATTTTTGAAATAGAATTAATTGTTGAACATAAAAAGTCATATCTGTTTTTATAAAATAAAAGTTCTGAGAGAGATAGAGCACTGGTTTGGTTGCCTAAAAAATATAGTGGTTTTATACCCTATATACAACTCCGTGGTAATTTGTATCCTGATCTGTGTAATTATTGTGAGATTGAAAGGGCCAGCTTTGTAACAAAAATAAGTTTCCCAGCAACCTTTTTGTTCTGAAAGAGTTTTTATGTGATTTTGTGAAAAACTGGTTGAGCACTGGTACGGTGACTCTACATTAAGTAGCCTGTAAAGATAGAGAAATGGTCATCCAGTATAGCTATGTAATTAAGGGCCCTCTACATTTTTTAAAGATATTTGAAAATGATACATATAGCTTGCTAATATAATATAGCTTGCTATTATAAACGCGAACAGAAACTTGTGTAAACACGTTGCTACACGTTGTAATTATGTAATTGTATTAACTAGTACACGTACATGTATTTGTGTAGCTCTGCGTTGTTTACATTGTGTACAATAGTTGAAGTAGACGATATATTGATAACATTAGTCTGAATAAGTGACTGAATTATAATAAAAATGTAAATGCAATTTATCGCCATTGCTTTAATATAACAATACTGGTGTCTCACTAAACTGAATTTCTGATGGATTTAACCATACTGTATATCTAGGTTCTATTGGATTTAATTAAAAATATTCTGTTGAAATCTAATCTGTTAAATTTAAGAAATTAAACAGCTAGATCTATCTAATTTGAAGGACATATTCTAAACTTATACAAAATATTGTTAATTATAAACATGTCAGGCATTGAAGTGGTGGATGAGGGCGGAGAGAAGGTCCAACTCGTTGATGTAGACGGTTACAGGGTGTGTAACTTTGAGAGAGACCCCAATGAAGTGGCGGAGTTAGTTCGAGGTTTAAAGGACCGTAGGTGTAGGCCCGATGACGTGTTTTTACTGACCCCGCCTAAATCGGGTAAACAGATGATATTTTATTCTGAAAAAAAAAATGTTTTTTTTATTTATAGAATTTATAGCTAAAGCTAAGGAAGGTCAATGCAAGCTGTAAAATGTACAGAAATACATGTATTTATTTCATTGAATCGATATGAACATAAATATATTTAAAGGTTATTTGCGCGTAAGCAGTATAGAATATTTCTTTGGTGACCATGTTTAAGTTCGTCTGGAAGTGCTGATAATATGGAATTGGATGTAATAACAGGAAATTTAGATAGAATTATTGCAATAAAATGTTTGTTTAAAAGAATTAGTATGTGCATGAGTTCGGGGGATGAAATGAAATGAATTACTCAAAAACAAATGAATACTATATTTCATATAGATCTAGATCTACAAGTTTGCGAAGAGTCTTATATTCTGCATAGAGTGCATTAAGAATAACAATTAATTAAGTGTAGGCCTGCCCCTTGATCATATTTACTGAAAAATATGCTGGACGATTGGCCAATATGCAGCAAATGGTATGCAGTGTAAGTGCAGTAACTTTAGTTATGCCTCAGTTAAGTGGTATAATTAATGCTCTAAATGTGATCTAAATCTATACGATTCTTGAAAGCGATTTGCAGTTGGTGATAATTGATTATTATTGTTTCAGACAACTTTATATAGGTATTAGTAGCTACCTAGGACAGTAAGTTCATACGCGTTGATTATATTTGAAGGAATTAAATATTTATACATTATATTGAGTTCAATGAGCATACTCCTGCAGCCTTTTTTTAACTGGGTGTTGTCATCGTGCTTACTAAGTGACTGCGACACATCTATAGAAATTGCGCATGCGCTAAATATAACTTCCGTTGCTCGGGGTAGTTGTAGACATAGGTTTATTTCGATAACATTCGATTATGCTTTTGGAATAAACATTAAATTGTTGTCATATGAAAATAAAATAATAACCTTATGGCCCTTATAATGACCCATGCACGCCCGTACTGGATAATAAATGCACATCTCTAAGCCGTTGAAGAACGTACGCTGCAAAAGCGAGACATACATGCATATTCATATATATTCATATCGATATGTTTATAGTTTGATTTTCAAATTCATTTTAAAATTTTATCTTTAAGAATACTAAATATATTTATTACAGGAACTCACTGGGTGTGGGAAATCACGTGCATGTTAATCCAGGGACGGGCAGACACAATACCGAAAAGTAAATCCAAAAACATGCTCGAGCACCAGACTGCTGAATTTTTGGAGAAAGTTGAGTCCCCAAGAGTTCTTAATTCCCATCTTAATATAAAGCACTTACCGAAACAGATTTTTGAGGATAAACTGAAGACAATACTCGTGTTACGAAATCCGAAAGACTTGGTGGTATCATTCTACCACCATACCAAAGGAATAAAGTGTTACGGATATAACGGAAAATGGGAACACTTCTTCAAATTATTTTTAAATAATGAACGTAAGTTTTAATCATTTCGTTTACATCAGAAAAAAATCTGTGGAAATATCATAAAATTTGATGTACTTATGAAATTGACCGATCATAGATTATCAACGTATCACGATGAGTTCCGAATGTAGTGACAGTCATCGAATTTAGCACTGGCCCGGTGGCCCGGCCATGGCCAGTGTAAATTAGTTCGGGCCAGTGTAAATTTTGAGAAAATTTAGTTAAATATGTAGCAGAATAAATTCAAAACTGGAATTCGGGCAAAGTAAATTCAAAATCTAAAATTCATTGACTGTAATGATTAAAGCTTTATAATAATGAATACTAATGTATAAGTTAATGGAATAAAATCACTTGATTTATGATTTCAGTGGATTATGGTTCCTGGTTTAAATATGTAAAAGAATGGGAGACGTATATCCTAGAACACTCCGATCACCATATACATGTGATATTTTATGAAGAACTACACAAAGTAAGTCAGAATTTATATCTGTTTACATCTTTTTACTAAAAATATCTATTTATGCATTTAATTATAAGGTAGTGATAGAATGCGAAATGGCCTTTTCGCCTACGAAATGGACATTAGTTTTTTTTTTTAATTATGGTTTAATTGTATTGATTGATATCATCACATTAGACATGTTGTTCTTATTGAAATATATTTTGCACGTCTAGTGTACAAAATGTATAATACAACCAATAATGATATTATTTGTAAATTGTCTGTTGTTACATTATATGTAATCTTGACTAAGTAAAGAAATATTGTATTGTATTGTATTGTATTGTATTGTATTGTATTGTATTGTATTGCTATCATGTTAAATAATGAATAGGTGATATATGACATACAATTACAATTCAAACAATTTGGCAATACTTTTTTCATTATTTATACATGTATATTTTAAAATAACCGTATAATAATGTCACATAGTTCAGTTTGTATAGCGTATGTTAAACGTAAGTTAATAAAAATTATTCTATTTATTACATTAACCGACATGTCATTTCCGTAAGCGAAAACTGCTAATCGTTGCCGAAAACTCCATTTCGTAGACCCCAAATTATTTTCAGAAATATGACTAAAAAATAAGAAAATATTAATATTTGATAGTTCAATCTGTAGTTTTATGCCCTATGTGGAAAGTAAGTTAATAAATAACTTGCAAAATATATGTAAATTTCATAGGCGTTAATTTCATTTCGCATAATGGAGTCCATTGCGCATTATATTACAAACCTAAATTATATTGTCCATAAGGAAAATGTTCCTTACTGTTACATTTTGCCACCAGTATAAGCTAAGTGTTTTGCATTTTTTTTCCACCAGAATAAGCCACGCAAGCCTACACTATCTAATTGCCATTTTGATATACCGGCAGTTAGATATTATATATCAGTTATTTTGCAGAACAACGTAGAAGAAATAAAACGATTGGCGAAATTTTTGGGGCTCGACCCAAGTGAAGAACTTGTGCAGGCTATTTCTGAGAAATGTCAGTTTCATAATATGTATAAAGATAAAATGCACCCGGACAGCGTTCGTAGAGAGATATACAACGGGGATTACACATTGTACCGAAAAGGTATTTATTGTTGTTGTTTTTTTAAATATTAAATATTTACTTAGGCCTAATGGTATTCTTTTGTATGTACATGTATATTTATTTTTCAATGATTTGAAATAAATATAGCTTACTGTTCGAAAAACAAGAATATATAACAAGGAAATGTATAGAGATTTCCTTCAAATATACATTAATATCTTTGGATACTATTTCTTTTCGTTATATTCGCAATGATTTGCTTAATGTGACATTATGCCAGTCCAAGAGAAATAGTATGAGTGAAAAGATAAAAATCAAACAAAGTTTACGTTTTGACATAATTCCTTTTAATTCTATAATTTAATTTACATGGACGAAAAATAACTCACATGGCCCAAAGAAATTTTTACAAATATTCATCAGGATTATTACATGTTACGTTCAAATTATTTATATTTTATTTTTCATCATTTTCTTATCAACAGTTAATCACAATTTACAAACTAGTATTCAAGCCTATGAAATATATAGTCAGTTCAGCTCAACTTAAAAAAAGGAAAAAATGAGCATAATGTCACTTTAATGGTTTTTGTATTTCAGGAAAAGTTGGCGATTGGAAAAATTGGTTTACAGTGGCACAGAATGAGGAATTTGACAAACATTATTTGAAATTTGCTGCTAGTTGTGGAATGCGGTTTCAATTTACGTGACTGTAATGTGCGAGTTAAAAAGATGTGTTAAGATTATATAAGATAATCAACTGTTGATCAATCACCATTTGCAAACTAGTATTCAATCCGTCAGTTAAAATACATGTAAAAGAGGAAAATATGCTCATTTATCAATGAATGTATGTCATTTCTATATGCAATGCATTGTTAATAAGATTTTTTTTATTTCTCACATACGTTTCATTTATTCCTATATGAAAATTGTATTTATATATAGACAATGTATTGATTGATTTTTACTTGAATTATAACTTGAATTTCACATGTATTACAATTTTATATCTTACGTTGTTTATGACGTATTAAATGTTTGTGGCAGCGGAGTAGAACTACCGACGTTCCGTAAGCTAGGTGCATGGATAGCTCCCTCACATGAAAGAATCCAAAGTCTCTGTCGGGAATCGGACCCACAACTGTGAGGAGCAAGTAAGAACACAATGAGTCAACGACCTCAGCCATTTGGCCACAAACGCCACTCTAAAATTGGGAGAAATCAACAACTGTTACATTTTCTTCAAATAAGTATGATCGGAGACACATTGAAAACAAATTTTTATATTTTCATTCAAATAAGCAAGGATATAGAGAGACATTGTGAACAATTTAAAATTAAACGCAAACATATAAAACACCTTTAATGAGGTTATACAAATGTTTATACCGTTCCTGCCTGAAATAATGCACAGAAGGGCACCCGAGGTGTTCATCCACCAGTACAGCTGGAAAGTCACAACATGAATTAAACTGTGCCGGTGCGACGTAAAAACAAATAAACTAAAACAGCTCGGGCTAAATTAAATGGAAATTAAAAAGCTGTCCCTTTATGCTTATTTG